ATTTCTTTAGCTGTATTATAACTCTTGAAGTAGTTAAATAAGTATCCCTCCAAAAACGTAATACCCTAGTTTAGGATAGAATCAAATCAGGCATAATAAATATTTTTCGTTCCATTACAAGATAACATTTTTTTTTAAATAATATAATCTTACTGCAACATTTAAAATTTTTCCTCATTTTAATGTTTCTTCCAATTAAATATATATAGTCTATTATTACTCCAAGATATTCACGATTTTCTGATTTATGTAAAATTGAATTAATGTTTGTTATACTATATTTAAAAATGTACGTCTAAAGTTCTTATATCATATTGGATTATTTCTAATTGTTTATTTTGATTACTTTAAGAAAAAGTTCATATCAACTCTTTTTTTTTTATAACATTTAAACATAAATTTTCATTGAACCACTTCTTTATAATTTGATCAATATTTAATCTTCTCATAACTGTCTATTTCTCCAGTAAACTTAAAATAATAAAAAATAGATCCAAAACTTATCCCTGGGGTTTATATAATAATGGTTGGAGACGGCTTGAATGGATAATGAAGAAAAACTTTAATATAAGTTTAACATAACAGCAAATGTACAACGTTTCGACAAGGTTTTGTCATCATCAGGTACACGTAGTGTCAAAACCAAAACACAAAAGAGTAATTGTTGTTATTATGTCTTATATATATTCTCATACTAGAAAGTGATATAAAAAAAAACAAAGGCAAGATGCTGTGAATAACTCTTAACTCTTTCAATACCAGGTTCTATGTTTATTTTAAGACAACAAAAAACAATGAGTCAGATTTTTTAACTGAAATGTTTCCATAATTTTTCAGTTTATTACAGGTCTTTTGATAAATCTGTAAAATAAGTATTTCAATTTGTGTGAACAAGATGGATTGGATGTGGTTACATCATGTAAATTAAATTCAAACTTGTATTTCTGAGTTGTTCTTATTTAACTGGACAAACCTTACTGAATGTAATGAAATCATTAGCATTACTAAAAACTGTATTTTTAATAAGTTTGTGCACACATTCAGCTTCGGGTGTAAGCTACAACCAGGCTATTTATTTTATAAAATTGTTTTTTATTAAAAACCTTAATTATCAGTTGAATATCTATACTGGTTTATATTATTATATAGAAAATATGTAATAGTTAAAGTATAACATATTTTCAAGAAACTGGCCACACGTAAAGTAAATAGTTTATTTACTGTCTCACTGAATTAAGCTAGTCATCTTAATCTACTTCAAAACAAAACTCTGAGCCTAAGTTTAAAACTTAAGTAACTCAGAAAAACAGTGAAGTCAGAAACTTTGTTACATAAATTGAACTTTTTATTACCAGTAAAGCACAAATGAAAAATCATGTTGCCTAATTACCCTTACACAGATAATGATTTTATGTGGTTAAAAAAAAACTTTATAAAATGTTATATAATCTCCACTCTATTTGTGAGATTGCTTAATAAAATCCAATTCCTTTTAAATTTATTAAATAAATCAATTAATTTCTTTACAACAAATCATCCAAATACTTTGGCTTAAATGAAAAAGACTCGACTAGATGGTTTCAGATGGCCTTCTCACATCATGGCAAGCTGAAAAAAAAATTAAAAGTTATCAATGATTTCTATTAATATCTTAGTTTTCCTTGGTTACAGTAAAACTTGCTCTTTTCAGTTTTTGTGGTAAATACGTAATTTAACCAAGTCTAAATCAGATGCCAGAAGAACATAGCCAAGTTTAAATCCAAAACTAGAAGGACTTAAGAAAGTTTATTTTTAAAACCAGAAAAGCTTAAGCCAGTCTAAACTAAAATTCCAAACACCTTAGCCAAATTTATATCAGAAGACAAAAAAACTTACTATACTGGGTCTAAAATAGAAGCCTGGAGAATTTAATCAAGTTCAAATTAAAAGCTAAAATTTAACAATAAGCTAAAAATGAAACAATGTTTATATCAGAAGCCAATATAAGTGAACCAATTTTAAAATCAAACCCAATATATATATTTGGATGAGGCTAAACCAGCTGCCAAAAGAACTTGATGCTAATTTTAAAGCAGAAAAGTTTAACCAAGTCTAAACATAAAATCATGGAAACTTAGTTCAGCAGCTCTCAATTTGTTGTCCACGAAAGGTTGCATAATTATGGTAAAGAAGTGGTAGCATACTTTAGAGATTCTATTGTAACCTGGCAAACAAAATATTTTGAGAACCATCAATGTAGTTTTGAATTCAAAACTAGAAGCCAGAATAATATAACTAAGTCTGGTTTCAAAACCCAAACTTACCAAGTCTACCTCAAAAGAAAAATAATTTAGTCAAATCTAAAACAAAAGTCAGAATTTAATAATGTCTAAATAAAAATTCAAAAGAACTTCATCAAGCTTGAAATTGAATCAAAAGAATAACAAAGGCTAAACCAGCAATGAAAATAACTTAGTTTTTATCCTTAAACAAGAAGCCAGAGAAGCTTATATCTAAGTCAAAAGCCAGAACATAACAAGTCTAAAGCAGAAGCCAAAGGAATGTAACTATGTCTAAATCAGAAGAACTTAGGTTTAAATCTGAGGCTTGAAAAACTTATCCAATTCTAAGTTAGATGACAATACTTTAAAAAACGTTACAAACCTTAAGCCATAAAAATTAAAAGAATAAGTTAATGACAGTTTAAATCATAAAGCACAGCTTAGTCTGGATCAGAAGAACATTTTAGTGTCTTTGGTTTATTTAATAGCAAAATATCATATAATAAAACCTACCTTCAAAGGCTATCTTATCTATTTTATTTTATTCTTAGGCATTATAGACAGGCGGCCTTAATGTATTGAATAAAAACAACATAAAATAAAGAAGTCTTTTAGTGAAAGACATTGGTTATATAAACAGATACAAATTTTCCTTCTCTTGAATTTTATTTGTATTTTGAGTTAATATTATAATGTTATAAATATTAAGAGTAAAATATCATAGATCTGTTGACAAAGACAACTGTTATTACTTAAGTTACATAATGACCAGCTTACTCAGTGATATTATGGCACACATCCTTTGGTACATTACTATTAAATTATGAACAAATTAGCATAAGAAAACAAAAAATATGTAGTTATTAAAAAAATTAATAATTAGAAACAGAAATATGTATAGAAATTCATTTTCTTCAATCGAATTGTAAACGTAAGTTGTTTATTCGAATTAACATTCTTCATAGTATGTTACAATTATTCAGGATAAAACTTTACATCTACAGTCACTGACACACATTTTTTCACATCAACATCCTGACTGGTATGTTTCAAACCAACAGTTACTACAATGTTGTCTCCAAGTCCTATATTGAATTGTCCATGCACTCTGTTTCAAGGATTAGGTGTGAAATACAAAAATGTAAGATTTGTTTAAAACATATATGTACTTCAATTCTAAAGTTGATACTGAAATTACTGTATGGTTAATGCTAGCTCCACAATATAAAACATCCCTCTGGCCAATGGGTTTGTTTGTTTGTTTTGAATTTCGTGCAAAGATACACGAGGGCTATCTGCTATAGCCGTCCCTAATTTAGCAGTGTAAGACTAGAGGGAAGGCAGCTAGTCATCACCAGCCACCGCCAACTCTTGGGCTACTCTTTTACCAATGAATAGTGGGATTGATCATCACATTATAACACCCCCACAGCTGAAAGGGCGAGCATGTTTGGCGGGACGGGGATTCGAACCCGCAACCCTCAGATTGAGAGTCGAGCGCCCTAACCACCTGGCCATGCCGGGGCCCTGGCCAATGGGAATTGTTCAGAAAGAAAGCCAGATTACTTACCAGATCTTCCTCATCTTCATCTGTTTCTTCCTTTTTCTCTTCTTGGCTCACTGAATCCTCCTTAGTTGTAAGAAAGTTAATCTGTTCATCAACAGATATTTTACTTGATGAACACTCTTCCTGGCTTATAAGGCTCAGTTTTTCTGAAAAATGCATAACTTTCAGTAAATATCTATAACAACAGATATTTTTTTCTATTCAGTGTTGACTAAAACCATAAAAACCAACCAAATTTTGTTTTACAGTTATTCCTGTAACTGAGGGATGTGATGGTAATTTTCAAAATACTTATGCAACAAAATAGGAATGTGGATGGCCAAGTGCAACATTTTTATGCAAAGTAACAAAGATTTTAATTGTTTTCCAATTGGTTTTTCATTAAAAAACATAGTGCTATAAAAGCAATCTCACAAAATAAACATTAAGAAATCCTACACACCAACCATGAAATAAACAAAAAAAAATGTGGAGCCTGAGCTGTTGCATCAGCTTTTACTGATAGCATAAATTCATATTTCTAGACTTTATACACAGCTAAATGCATGTTAAAAAGTTGTTTACAAGTAATATCAATTCTAATTAATAGATACAGTTTATTTTTTGCAGACCTATAGATAAAGAAATTCTCAATTAAATCCTGCAACAAAGTTACATCTTAAATTTTACAACTACTGAAAATAGACATTTTATTATTAAATCTGAAGTGGCATTTGCTAATATCTGGTGTAAAATCCCTAATGGACTTAAATTTAGAAAAAACTATTTTATTTTCCACATTTTACCAAATTTTTTCAGGACTTAAAGATGTTTTAAACTAAGGAGTTTAACAATATTTTCTTCTGGTTTATTTGTTCAATATAGAGACTTCACCATTTTTTTTAACACAAATCAGCTGACAAAACAAAAATCATAAGAACTATTTCTTTGTTATTAATTCGTATTGGATAACCTTGATCAATTCTAATTAGTAAGCTTACTGCACATCTTTTTAGATTCCAATATCTGGATGTATACAATTCAACTATACAAATATCTCGGGTTACTATTGGGTTTCTCATCATCTACATATTGTTAAGATAACTAATGAAGAGAAACAAATCTCTCAGGTTAATAATAGATCATCATCTACATCCCCTCATGATACCCGATGAAGAAAACAAGCACCATACTGGCAAAATGTACATAATACATACCGGTTACAATTCTATCCCACAGTTCTTTGTCTTTAGCTCTAAGTGAGGATTTCAGGTCTTGTAAAAATGAGTTGAAGAGTTCAGCCTGATTCTTCTGTTAATAAAATTAAATACTGAATTAATTTTGGCTCATAAATGATTATTTTTTTACAATTCAAGTAGTATACACGTTTTAAATGTATCAGTCATAAGTGATATTACATTGGAAAATTCTTCATATACACTTTTAATTCAATTAATTTAGATGTCATTACACACAAATGTCTTTTGTTTTAGTTTTTGTATTCCTTATACTTTTTATACTTACTGCAAGTTGGTTTTGTGAGTAAATATTTCTACTGATTGCTCTCCCTTAACTTGAACCATTTTTTAAAAATATTTTGTGTTAAATAATCCAAATCAATGCAAAATTTTTTCCAAACATGGTAATTTACTATGTGAAACTTAAATATATGACAGTACTGTTGCCTAGCTCGTTGTTAAATTAACTAATAATACTGCATGTTGAAGAGAAAAATACAAACTTTAGTATACAAATGACAAGATTTAAAATTGAATACATTAGCTACAATAGAGGGCGTTTCTTAAATAACAAATAAATTATATATATATATAACAATACATAAAAATTTATTCTAAACAGGAATACAAATAATGTCAGTTTATGGTACGTTGAGAAATTTAAACATTCATACGATAAAGCAAGATTTAAAGAAACTGTGTCAGTCAATCAGAATTTATTTCTCTTAAAAACTAACAGAGTTCAGTTACCTTAACAGATTCTTCTCTGTATATCTTCAGACAGCCCAAAGTTTTGGTGTATAATGTATTTGCAAGTGGATCTGTCACTAACTGGAGGATCACCTTTCCCAGTTGTTTGCATACTAAGTGGAAAGTTTTAATTAAAAGAACTTGTGATTTTACGTCTCAAACAAATGAAATATAATGTCTGGGGTTGTACTTCTAAAACAATTATTTGTAGCCTCAGACTTAAGCAATTTCTGCATTCATATCTTAAAGAATTTCTCTGTGGTTTCAAATCTAGAACATTCCTGTCATTTAATTCTTAAGATTAACTGTTTGTTGTTCCTCATTTTTAACAAGGCCACAGTAGTTCTTTTTGTAATCTTGTAGAGAAATTTGTTAAATGTTTTCTTTACTTTAGAACACAAGTTTTCTTTATCCTTGCAGCATAATTAATGTTTACAAATAATTAAAAAAAAAATGAGTCAAATTTCTTTCTTACAAAAAAAAAGGGAAAAAGGTTTTCAATAGAGCCAGTACTGACTCAAACATACTGACAACAAACACACACAACGTATACTGAAATAAATATTTTTGTATGCGCAACTAACTAGAAAGATTGCAAATGTTTATTAGTTAAACTGATAATTATTAGAATAAACTAAGAACTTACTATCACTAAACTGAGTGTTTGGCAAAGCTACCAGGTTCTTAAAGTCTTCAGCTGGTGTGACAGAACCAACCTAAAAATAAAGTTTTAGAAAGTTATTTACCAAGAATAATTCATTTAGGTAATACTTTAAAGTAAAGATATTTTAACAGCAGACACACATGCAACAGATCAATTATTCAAAACTTTATTTGAATAGTTACTGCTTATTAGTTATACGGGATAACAGCTAAAAATAGTAGTTTTTTTTAACTCCTTAAACCCATAATGTTTTGCACATTCTGCCAGAATTATTTTCATGATGTCCTAATAATTATCACCATACCTTAACAAATTTCCAGTCTATTTATAAAAAATTATATAATAAAGTGGTTTGGATTAGTTTTCAGCCAAAGAGACATAAATGTTATCGGAAGTTGGCAGCATTCCCTCGGGTTTAAGGAGTTAATGTCTACAAGACTTGACAGTTATTAGATAGTTCAATATGTTTCATTCTTAGTACCTAAATAAAAGATTTACAGTCTCATGTTTTAATAACATGTTTTGAGTGAAATGAATGTGGATAAATGCAAATCAATAAAAGGTACATGTTTAAAATAACTGTATTAATGTGAAATCATTATGGCAATCAACTGTTTTATTCACTTTAAAAAGTAAAATGCATCAACTGATAACTATCAATTTACAAATAGATAATCAATAAAAACATTCAAACACCACAGGAAGTTGTATGTTTCACAATTACGAATATACATAATTTTTTTTTGAAAAAAAAGTTAAAATTTCACACTTGCATTTAAAAAAAGGTTACTTGAAAAAACAAATTCAAAACTTAAAAAAAAAAGTGCAAAAAATAAATTTCCACAACACTAACTAACAAGTGGGTAAACCTGTAAAAACACAAAATTCCAGAACACTAACTAACAAGTAGGTAAACTTGTAAAAACACAAATAACACATTCACAGGCATTTAGATTTATTTTTTGCCAAGTTTAAACCACGGTTTTGTTACACCATATACACACTTTTATACCAAGTAAGTACTCTTATTTTTGCTTTCTAAGTTTTCACAATATCCTTTTTTCTGTTTTACTATCACTTTTAAAGGAAAGTGTGATACTTAATTATCACAATAAAGTCATTTTATTATATCTAATAAAAAATTAAGTTTTTCTTCCAATACTGTGTGGTTACTTTAACGTCTTTGTTTTTTGAATATTGTGCAAAGCTACTTAAGACTTAGCTATCCATAATGTAGCAGTAATAGACTAGAGGGAAGACAGCTAGTCAATACCACCCACTGCTAGTTCTTAGGCTACTCTTTTTACCAATGAATAGTGGGATTGACCATCACATTACAATATCCCATAACTGAATGGGTAAGTATGTTCAGTGATGGGTATTTGAACCTGCAACCAGCAGATTATGAGTCAAGTACCCAAGCCACCATTTTTAACGTCATATTCTATATTAATTCTGTCTTTCTGCAATCAACTAAACAAAGAAGACAAATTTAATATTACAAGATCTAATGTTCACACAGTTAAGTTTATCTTAATGTGAATGCATATATGGAAGTTTTAGGTTGTATACAGTTACAGATAAATAATTATAATGCCCCCACGGCTGAAAGGGCGAGCATGTTAGGTGTAACGGGATTCAAACCCGCGACCTGCAGATTGTGAGTCGAGCCCCCTAACCACCTGGCCATGCCAGGCCTTTCAACAAAGACCTCTAATAAGCTGAATGTAAATAATAACATAATGAACACTTCAAAATATTTTCAAAAAAAAAATCTTATTTAATATATTTGTTTTAACTTTTTCTACCAGGAAATACAGAATATACTTTCCACCTTAGTAAGGCTTTTTAGGATCTGATGGAGACAATTATTACTTTTTATTTTTTACAGTGCAAGGTATTCTAAATTTAAATATACATTTTATTCCTATATCAGTTTATCAGTATAATGAAGGAAATAATTGGATTTTTATAAAAAGCAATGCTGTAATAAACATTACCAACTAAGCAAGATTGTTTTAAAACATTTTTGGAATTACATTATTTGCTAGCATCAAAAATGTATGATGTAATATAAATGTTTAATATTACTATTTTTGAAATAAAAAATAAAGTACTCACATAACATTTAATTCCATCCCTGTTTTCTTGATCCCACTGATGATTATATCAACCTGGTCAGGAGAGTACTCGCTGGAAAAGTTAGAAAATAGTAACAACCGTTGCCCAGCAAATTTCTGTCCTTGTGTCTGATGCATGAGGACATCCATTCCAATAACAATTCCATCGACAACTGGGTTCAAGCTTAGGAAATTGATAGTTAGTTTGTATAAAATCATTGCTAGAGTTGAGTTAAATTTTTTGGCTATTTTGTTCTAAGTGACAACACTAGTTATGTTTAGGTTAAAGATCAAGAAAATGCAAAATGTTCCTGTTTAGTAACAAAACTAAAATAAACCAAGTGTTCAACTAAGAAAGATTCTAATATTCTACTACATACAAACATAGCAGCAAAAACAACTAGTGACCAATAACGAATTGTCCCCCTACCTGAAAACTCCAAAGAATTTTATTGGTAAAATCAACATATACACACTACTCACAGCCTCCTAAAAAACAAACTTACACCCTTACAATAAGCATAAGGCCTTCTCAATCGATGTTCTCTATTTGATGATTTAACATGTAAAATCAAAAACTCAAAGAAAGAACCTTTCCTTCCTGCTTCGACATACACAAATAAAATGGATACAATCCGCCGATACCATGCTTACTTCGATATCTTGTACAAACTGCAAAAGTTTCCAGTCTGCCTGCTTCAGATTTCGTGCAACTGTAATGTGACAGTATTCTCCACTTTCAGTGTCAGCCAGATTATTTGCTGTTTCTTGAGTACCCAGAAGCACAAGAGCAAACTCATCTTTCGATTCTGAAAATATCTACAACGTAGAGTAAAATTTAGATACACAATTCTTAATAAAAAGAATGACAATTTTTGAAACTTCAAAATAAGATAGGTTTCAAAATAATGCTGACATTATAAACATCTATAACTTAAAAGCTCAATTCAGCTCTGGTTTTTCATTAATAGTTGTTTATTACTGTAACTTTGGTTATATATCCTATCACTCTGGTGAGGTACTTCTTATTGTATAGAAGAAAGTATCAGTTAATTGTTGAAATTACACAGCTTTGATTAAATAACTCACACAATAAAAAGGTAGTATCATACAGCTCAGGTGAGAGTAAATTACTGAACTCTGATAATCATTAGTCATTCCATGAAAAATGACAGAGTATAACAAAAACTACTGCATAATTGGTAGGACAGTAAGTTACACTACACAATCAATTATTGGACAACAGAGGAAATAATAAGATAGAATACAGTATGAAATATTTCACAATTAGTGATAATGTAAATTAGAGAGCAATAAGAAGTATTACATACCTAATAAGGTAGTATATAAATGAAGTATTACATACCTAATAAGGTAGTATATAAATGAAGTATTACATACCTAATAAGGTAGTATATTAATGAAGTATTACATCATAATTTGAATTATGAGTATAATTTGGATGGGGATAACTTTAACAGTAGTATGAAAGAAAGGGATCCTAGCTTTCTGGCTGATCAGTTTCTTAAGCCATCCAAGCAGTGTGCTACTTTTAGTGGTAGGGCAAATAGAATTTGAGGTTTTATCTATAGAAATATTTAATAGACATCTTAAAGGTTATAATTTCATTGTATGTGTCACTGGTTAGGCCACATTTGGAGTATTGTGTCCAGTCTTGAACTTCTTACCTTAGGAAGAACATTGAATTGATGGATAGGGTTCAGAGTAGGGTTACTAGGATGATACTTGGACTAGAAAAGTTGTCATACAAGGACAGATTAACATCTATGAAATTGTAATCTCTTGAAAAAAATAGAATGGTAGGGCTATGGGGACACAAATATAAGTTTTGCCAGGTAAGAATCATCTTCAGCTATGGCAGCTTTATTTTTCTAACAGTGGTTGGCCTTTTGAATGGGTAGCCTTCAAATGTGATGGATGTAGTAAATCTAATGAGGATTAAAGGAAGGTTTGACAAATATCTTAATGATAACGGTTGGTTTTGAGTTTTTTTAATGGTTTTTTTAGTGGTTGGGATAGACTGGATGGGTCAAAAGGTCCCTTACTGTCCTTAAATTCTATGTTATAACTGGTAAGATAGTGGGTGATAATGTAAGTTACTGAGCTGTATGAAATACTACATAATTAATGTGTTAATATATTGATGAAGCATTACTACAAAACTGGTGAGGTAGTATTTTGTAGTATAGGATAAACTTAAAACATCTTGGATAAAACCAGGCTGCATAGAAGTAGCAGAGTTTGTAGTCTATTACCAGTTTTGCAGTATGTAAAAATAGTTCAATAGGTTATAAACATCCTCAAGTTACTATAACACATGAAGGGTTGATGTAATAGCTTTTAAAGAACAGTTGAAGTTTAAAACTAAGTTCGCACACTTTCTGTTGTATGATATTCTCCACTATATTTATTAATTAATTTCACTGTTGGTAGACCTAGTCAGCTAAAAAGTTGTTAGTGATAGTGAAAAGAATTCAACCTAGAATAATAGCAATTTGAACAAGTTCAGCACTGAACGAGATGAAGAGATTCAATTCACAAATCAAAAGAGCTTGAGACAAAGATAGTACACATTTTTCTGTTTATTTTTTTATTATTCCTTATCATAATGAGTAGAAAAGTGTGGCAAGCAGCAGAGTCTGGCAATTACTTTTCACAAACTTAAGATATATAAAAAGTGTGCCAGATAAACAGTGTAACTAACTTCACTTCACAAGTCAGTATATTAGTTACTTTCAAATATTATATTTTTCTATGCTAAATTACTATAAAATAAACCAGCAAACAATGCTTTGAATATTTACCTTTGAAACCAATGTGACTGGATAAAAAAACAACCACGACCAGCCAGAAGTAAAAAAAGTCTTTCCCTTGATGTATTAATTATATAAGACAAATAACTTTTAACAGGATTGTAACAATCAACTACAAAATCAATTATAAAACAATATGGTATTTAGTTGGATTGGAATTATTAACACATGCCTATCAAAGTGTGAGTCTTTGTTTCATAATTCCTAAATCCAACTCATTTAAGAAACAATACATGCTAAGCTAGGAATAAATTGCACCTACAGTAATTTTGTCCATCAAAATATCATTAATTAATTACAAGACTGATCAGTACTTAAACTTAGGCATAATGTATACAAGTCTTGTCATTTCAGTTCATATTGGAACGTGTGAGTAGATTTGTTAGATTAATCATTATACTGTTACGACATCGAGGTCACGTGACTAGTATCACGCCATGTCATTCTCGAACTTTCACGTCTTTTCCTTAAATCTCGTGATCTTTCTAGACATAGTGTAGTCTTGTATATATATAAGACCGGCCACGAAATGACGGCGAGACAGTGAGTAATTGAACTACAGTCAGAGAGTGTGTAATTGAATTGAGTATTGTTGAAGTCGAGCACGCGAGACATTTGTTATAGCGCGACTGTTGAAATTAAGTGTATCGCAAAGTTATATTCAGAAAGAACAAACCAGTTTTATTTAAGAAAGGACTTGTGTCGCTAAAGTTTCGTCGGAACTAATTTACGGAAAATTAACTAACGAACGGAGACATAACAATACTAACAAGTTCTACTTTTACTACTGGTTTACTAGATTACACTGATAAAGTGTGTTCCAGTATTAAAGAATGTTGGTAAGCCAGCATATCATCATACTTAACACAGTTAATAAATATTGTACAGTAGGTCATTAATGCAATAAAACGGAGACATAACAATACTAACAAGTTCTACTTTTACTACTGGTTTACTAGATTACACTGATAAAGTGTGTTCCAGTATTAAAAAATGTTGGTAAGCCAGCATATCATCATACTTAACACAGTTAATAAATATTGTACAGTAGGTCATTAATGCAATAAAAGCTGCATCTAAACTTTAAAATGATTACTTGTATTACATAGCATCTGCCATCTCAAGGATATCAAATTAAAAAAGCTGAAAACCATTGTAGCCATGTTTAAAGAGTTTATTTATATGAACAAAACTTACTCTCCTCTGAAGAATCATTCCAATACAAGCTTTTGCTTGTTGTAATGATGTAGGACCATCTTCTTCACCATCATTCATCCCTGGTCCAACATCAAGAAGAATCACTACTGCTTCCTGAAAGAACAAAGTATCAAACAAGTAATCTAAAAAGATATTTTTGTACTATGATTAATTAGGGATATTTCTTTAATATATCATGACCAAAAAGTATGGCATACTGACTGATCTTTCTTTCATCCATTCTGGAGTTAATATATGCACAAGTAATAGAAAGAATAGTTTAGTTTATTATGAATTTCTCACAAACCTACACAAGGGATATCTGCACTACCCATCCTAATTTAGCAGTGTAAGACTAGATGGAAGGCAGCTAGTCATCACCACCCATTGCCAACTCTTGGGCTACTCTTTTACCAACGAATAGTGGGATTGACCATTACATTATAACACCCCACAGCTGAAAGGGCAAGCATGTTTGGTGGAACTGGGATTCGAACTCGCGACCCACTAATTGTGAGTCGAGTACCTTAACCACGTGTCCATGCTGGGCCAGAAAGAATGAATATCCTGACCTTTGGCACCCTGACCTGAATAACTATCACTTGTAAAAAATTTCACTGAAAAGGAGTCAATGAGGCAAGCAAAACTATCCTTATATTTGTCAGGTTTTCACACATACAACAAAGGATCAATGGTAAGATTCACATTTTGACCAAAGAAGAAACAATGGTTACAAAATGGCTCCAACAAATTCATACACATTATGAAACCAGAAATATGGTTAAATACATAAACAATATATTCAGTATATGGTGACATGGAAAAGATATGCTACTCAATTTCATTGAATTCTTAAATTCATTGAAACCCAGTTATAATTTTCACTCATTACATAGAATCCAACAGTTGTCTTTCCTTTATAGATGTGAATGTAAAAAACGAAAATAACAAAGTTATCACTAGTACATACAGGAAACCACATTCAGTCACTATGCCACTACACATAAGATCTAATCACCACCTATCACAGCAAATACCCTCCTACTTCACCTACGTAAATCATGCTATACAACTTTACCCGCACAAAGTTGACTTACTTATGGAATTGAACTACCTTAACGAACAAAACATTATCTAGAGTTTTTAACCTTAATATCATAGATAGGGCTTGTATCAAACTTCAAAACAGCAAAATATACTACTTTAACTCTAGCCTTTAACCCATCAACAACTCAACAAATTTGTTTCATTCTCTTCAGTGCCAGAAATTGCTAATGAAATTACTAGACTTTTTAATAATTTGAGCATTGATGTAAAAATCCTCACATAAAAAATTAAATAATATCTCACTACCTAACCCAAAAGAATTCCTATTAAAAGAACAAAAACAGGGCATATACAGTATTCGATGTGAATGTGGAAAGAAACACATAGGACAAACATCACGTCCCTTAGAAACAAGACACAAAGAACACCAAGGTAACATGCATAGAGGTGATTTCCAGTTATCTGCTTTAACATATCATCAATATGAAACAGGTCACAAAACACTTTGGGACAAAATTCTTCTCCTACACCGACCCAAGACTGAAAAATAAAGAGACTGTTTAGAAACTAAAGATATAATCAAAGCAAGTGGCCCCAGTAACATCAGCTGTATTTGGCAAGGTCTGTTCACTGTTCATATACTTGACCAGTCTTGATCTTTACCTGTATCCTGTCACCTGCTGACACCATTTCCATCACATTTAATCCATATTGTCTTTGTAATGATATATAAACCTTGGATTACTTAGCACTAATCATACCTGAAGATAGAACAATATTCTGTCAAAACATGTAGTATGTTCCACCATCAATAAAACTTTTCTTTATGCTTATAAATCCTTGTATGCCTATCTATTATTAATGTCATTATAAAGTAATTTGTGGTTTCTCAAGCTACTGGATACCTGGAGTTCCTGTAGGATTCAACAAAGGATTCTAATGAGATTCACAACACTTACAAACAAACCACAGATATAAAAGTTATTTTTCATAGTTTATTTAGACACTTCTTTATTACTAAAAATGTTTTTGAGTTAAATTATACCTGTTTCAAAGCCACAGGGATAGTCTTCTATGACAAAACATCAAGTAGAGTTAAATTTAGTAAGTATGATAAATATCAACAAAATATTCTGATAACTCATGAATTTGGGTGAAGCATGAGGAATTTCAGATATTCAAAAAACTGACCTTTTTTTTTAAACCCCAGTTTGGGATCATGCAAAGATAGTAACAATTTGGGAATTTCCTAACTAATATGGCAGAAAGTAAATATTTACCTGGGTTGTAGGATCTGGCTATAGAATTTATGTTTAAGAGTTACTTTTTCATTTAAACACTACATAAGACACTATTTACAACTTACCTGAGGCACTGTATTCACACTGATATTGTACTAATACACATCTCAGTATGCTAAATTTCAATTAATATTTAAAATAACGCTTGGATACATGTTAAGGTACCCAAGTTGTTTTGTATATACCAGGATAAAGTGATTAATTTACAAAGTGGAAGTGACTTTGGGCTACTGAAAGTACTCAGACTATATTAATGATGGTAGTTTTTAACATCCACAACTATCTGTAATAATAAGTTCATAAACTTCACTCATCATGACAAATACGAAAGTATACACAAAGTCATGTTCTTTTTGAAATACGAGCGATTACAAACTTTACCTGCTTTATCATGCTAATTGTTTTTCTTGAACCATGAAATATCTTTCTTTTATCCAAAGTTTGACATTCAGCATTTATGCATGACATTATATAATTAGCTTACACTGATAGTCAAAACATTTTCTAAACTCTTGATATCACTAGAGTACAAGTATTTGAAGTAAAAAACACATTCCACATCTGCTTTAATCAAAAGAGCTTCATAATCTGGCAAACAGAAGATTCCTAAAAATGTAAATTTATTGAAGAAATAAAATGCAGTTTAACATGTTTGAGTAGCTTTTTTTATGGTGGCATTATTGTTCAGAAGAACATTTTTATTATTAAATGAAGGAAAATCGCTGCATTCTACCCGTACATAACCAGCTAGCAGTATGAACTGCTAACAATAGTAACATGTATGTATCAGCAGGTTAGAACCTGCTCATAATGACAAAAAAAAAATTAACAAAGCTTTGTCATAAACAAATCTATAATCCCATGAACATGATAAAGGTAAACCAATCTTTGGTTTATGGAGTTCTGCTAGAGGTTGTAGTGTTATAAAAATGGAATACCCCTTTATAATTATGATATTTATTCTAGTCTCAATGTTTGTGTGCTTCGTTCTTCATTATAATTTATATTCATAAGTTATACTATTCGTGTCAACGTATAATTACTAGACTGACAGTGACATGGTATGAATTTGATAGCTTAGATAACGGAGAAGGTATCTCTAATTACAACAACTGATTTGTTCACTAGATCCATTGAAAAACAATCTGGTTAGTTTAAAATATTTATTCTCGCGAAATGAAATGAAGAGTCCGCCAAACACTTATTATGAATTACGCGCCAAAGCTGGATATTAGTTTATAGTCAGACAAATGGCCGACTCCAACAAATCTTGAGGATTTTGTTGTCTAATCAATAAATAATATCTAAGCATGTAAGCAAACTCAGTATTTTATTAAATCATTTGATAATAATGTCATAATAATAAAGTGTGAACTACGACACACGTCTCACCTTGTTTGCTGCCATCGTTATGGATACCTGACCTCTAGTGTTAAAATAATTGTTACAATTTAAACGCCGAAAGCTGTCGAAACATTACAAAGTAACATACCTAAAACTTGTGATAAAAATCACGGAAATTGCAGCTTGTTAATTGTGTAAGATGTTTAATAAAAAATTATATTAAACCCACAAAATATAAATATAATCTAGTTAAGTCATTGAAGTCAGCATAAAAAAAACAGAGTCAGAAAAGTCGATTTCTGGACAAGGATATGAAAATAACAAATTATTATTGTTATTAACTTAAAGAAATGCTGATATTAATGAAACTGCAATCCTGGGAAATCTGTAAATAGACGAACCAAATCAGAGATATCATGGTCAATAACCTATTAGAAGTAACTGGAAGTACAAATTTTTACAAAAGAATTGCGTGTATTCTATATAAAACTTAAAAGGAATATTGACCACGTAAACAAAGTGAAATGACCAGTTGATGGTATGGGATGTAATATAAAAGAATGAAAATATTGCATGAGATAAGAAGCTGTCCCTTTGTGACTAATATACTGTTGTAAGTTATAATTTTAATGTTTTGATTTAGATGTTTCTTAGCTACAAGTGAATAGTTTAGTACAATGATGTAAAATATGTTTCCAACCCCCTTTAGTTAAAAAAATGGCATTTTCAAAATTATGTGTTTTTTTTATAGTTCCCCATATGGAACACAGCTGCGCTCAAATAGTATCTAAATTTTACATTCTTTAACATGCGAACTAAGTAAAATGAAGATTAAGCGCTTTTTTGTCTGATTCTCTTACAGGTAATCAACGTGGTTTATAGTCATATAAAAGTTGTGAATATACTCGTCCTTGATCCTCACTGCCTGTTGGCCAGTTGATCTAATAGGCACTAATCACTTTTTTTCGTGTGTCAGTAATTTGAGGTTTTATTTACATA